GTGCTGGATACCTGGTCATTGTGGCATCATCGGAAATTAAATGGCTGATATAGCAGCAAAAGATGCAATTACGAACCCCTCAGCAACAACAGTTCAACTTGTAAGCAAACAAGACGTAGTAGGTACCCTTAAATAAATATAATAGATTAGCATTATAACTAAGAAGTAATAAACGTTGCAAAAAGTAGATATTATGCTTATAAACACTTTTACGACATATCGTAAATATATATATACTATATTATAATATTTCATAGTTATAACTTATAACTCATCTGACAAATTATTAAGTGTCATACACCGCATTACCATTTACCAGTAAAAGCAATTTCCCTAAGTCCTTTACAGTTTAATGACGTCGTGCTGTACCACCGCACAAATATCGGTTTCTAACTCGTTGGAATACCGCCAAAACGAAGTGTACTCCTTGAATCCTGCAGTGCATTGCACCGAACGAAAGTGTTCGATTGAAACTAAAATCCAATCCGCACATAACATTTGCATACGTAGTGCACTGTATACGTATACTGCAGACTTATTGCAATTGAACAACATCGTGTGGTTTTAATTGAACGATCGAGTAGTGTAGTTTGAAAGTTTCACATTCACGACGATAACGGTGTAGCGAAATAGTCGATTCGCGATTTTATGTTATAATTACACGCAAGGGGGTTGAAAATCAATTTTTGAATTTAACCATGATAATAATATAATAATGTATAATACATCCTACTGAGGTTGTGTCGTTTTGGTAAGTCTCCAAAGGAATTAACATATACGTGACATATATTATTATTTGTACTTGTACAACAACAACATATTATTATTATTATTATTATATAATTATGTTAAGTTGGGTACCTACTTATAAGCCACTAATTCATATTGTTATTATGAACTTGGCTTAGATGAGCATTGATATTATGGCACGCTACTGATGAAGACTCGTTTAAATAATTACTTTTGGTTAGAATTACTTTGAATTTTAATAAAAAAAAATTCATCTAATATCGATTTTATCGAAACATAAAACAGTTTTAACTTGATTTTTAATTGATTGTCCGAAATATAATATCATGAATATTATGTATAAAAAAATATTCTCGAACGAGACTACAAATTCACAATATACGAATAATCATTTGTAGAAAAAATCCTTTTTTAAGGGCCTCTTCGTATTCGATACATTGATTATCAGTGTGCGTGTAATTTACTATCTCTCGAGTTTTTGCCATGAGCGCTTGTACGGAAGGGGAAAAAATAGAAAAACCAATCAACTGTATACAAATGAAGTAAGTTTTGTTTTGGATTTTCCGGTCGTATTTCTACTGCACATGCGACAACTAACCGTTGTGTTGGTCATATTAAAGATATTTTCCTGATTGTTTACGAGTTTCCCGACGTATATGATACGAAAGAGAGAGAGAGAGAGCGAGAGAGAGATTGAAGTGACGCCAAAATCGAACTCCAGCCTCGGGCATAGCCTCCAAACCCACAGTGATTGCCTCGTTCGAGAGTCAAGCGATGTTGGCACAGTGCGTTATTATTATTAGTTGGTCCCCGGACGTACACGCTTATAAGCTCTTAGGTAACGATTCGTTTTTAATAACACTTTTAAAATTACAGAGATACCCCCACTCGAGAAATTTAACAATCGCCGGTGGTATTCTCATACCTGTCCGAATGAGTAACATTTTAAATTAAAACACGAAACACAATATGCCACAACTCAATAATTATTCTGTTTTAATAATAACTATTGAAAACTATGAAACGAGTAATTTAGGTAAACACCCGATACCTACATATTTTATTAGGGACTAGCAAGTCCCTTAATATTAATTGATCCAATATTTCTTTAGTATCACCACTGAATATGCTGATAGGTATTCTATAAATAAATTATAGGTACAAAAAATATTTCATAAGTCTAGAGGGGTTTATACTTTATCCGTGTATAAAATAATTTCAAATATAAGTAAGTACGCGATATTTATTGGTTATTTTACTGGTACCTACGTTTACGTTTATATAATATTATATAAAAAAAAACCTTAAATGGATAAGAAAAAAATACACTAATTTCATTAGCTACATAAAGACTCTTGACTTTTTGATTTTCATGCGTTTTATTATGTTCTGGTAAATATCAGTGACGTTCGTTTCGTTTGCTATTATTTTTTTTTTTAACTTTAATAGGTATGTACTTACATTAAATTAAATTCCATATTTTCTATCCAACATTGTAGTTTACATCTTTCGAGTAATACAGCATTTTCAAAAAGTGTTTCGTGTCGATTCCGGGCCTGGAATCACTCTACTCGTCTTCTCTCGCGCGTAGCTAAATTATTTTTGGCGTGCTCATTCTGGTCGGTGAACACTTGCGTGGCACCCTAGAGAATTGGTGTGCAGTTTCGTAGTTGTACATGACTGGTAGACACAGGCAGTGTTGCGTCAGGCCAGTGTATGTAAAAGTTGGATGATGTTTAAAATAACGAAATTTGAACGCAGCAGAACCGTGCGGAAATTAAAGCCAACCGAACTGCGGAGTATATAACGATAGAAGGGGGACGGGGCGAGTGGTATACAGACTTACTAAAAAGGTCTGTTACGCGCAGCAAAACCCATATAATATATATATATATATTCGGTGATCGGTGTTACAGGGACGGCGTGGTTGAGAGCGAAGTTAATCTAATTCCGGGTTTTGACCGCAAAGACATTTTCTTGACGCCAACAACAGTTTTAACTACCGACTTTTAATGAAGCCTTCGTGAATATTATGAAACTTTCTCACCAAAGGTTCCTGTCGGGAACTATTTGTTTATTCACATTTGGAGCTCGACAAATTGCAAAACTTCATCGTCACTGGTACTGGTAATTGGTCAGGAAATTTAACATGCCCGTACTATATAACCATTCTCTTAACTTAGATTTAATACACGGACGTTTCTTGATTAGCTCTTATTGAACTGGCGTTAAATTTTTTTCTCTACTGTCGTAGACTGGTCAGACTAACTTCGAAGTTAGTTATTACTAACTTTTTATTATAATTCAATTATATTATTTATAATTCAAGGACAATCCGCTACGATGGAGTAGATTTGTGTTACCGATTTGTATGAAAAACATACTCTTGATTATATTTTATTTAATTGTTACGATCGGTGAAATGGCTTATCATTAAAATCCAACTTATGGTCTATACAAATAAAATAAAATTAGACATGATTCAGCAAATAGTTTATTTAATTGTTGGTTATATGTAACTGAAATACATTTAAAAAAAAATTATGAAAATAAAGAATAAATTTAATAATATTTTTTAGAGAAAAATAGATTTTTAATATTATTAAAGAAACAAGTAGGTAACAATATTATGTTATTCAATAGGTATATAAACGTTATCCCAATACAATAAACTATTCAAAATGAATAATTTACCCTAAGGCATACAATCGAAAGATAATGATTAGTATCCTACAAATTTAATGAAACGGAAAAAAATTTCCCTGTTTTATATATTTTCTCTATTATGCACATAAATGAAAAAATGAAGAAGAGTCTTCATAGTGTTTAAGTGGTTTGGGGTTTAAGTGTACCGTACAATGAGGGAAACTGTAAAACACATTGTGTGACATTTTTGAGTTGAGTGCATATAGCTTTAGTATAGTATATATAAATCAGAAACTATATTCAAGACAAAAAGACGGTTAAAGAAAAAATTTAAAATTATTTCGTTATTTGAACGAACAAAAATAATACAAAAGTGCAAACATCAATAAAAAACATAAAGTAATTATTAAACAGTTTATTATTATACCTATACTAAGCGTGGTGTATTTTTGAAAGTTAATTAATAATTTATTTGAAAAAAAAAAATCATCATTAATTTTTTTTTAATTGTAATTTCTTTAAAATAAATATTGCTCTGGTACATTTATAAAACGAATAATAAAATAAAATATGCATTATACAAGTACATTTTGCATTATAATTACATTTTTTAAATAAACGTCTTTTCGGGAATAGTGTTAAAATAACCATTAAATTTTAAACTGAATCCATATAGTTTATTTTACGTTGACAAAAAGACATTTTAATATTTAAATACCTGTACTTTTTAAATCGATTCGATGTATACCATCGCGTATCTTATTAAAGGCGAAATAAAATGTATGCCTTCGGCCTCAAATATTAAATATATGTTAATTTCCAAGCATGGTATAATTTAGTTAATACTATACATATATTACACGATATATCATATACCAAATGAAAATTATTTTTCTCGTTCAAATTTAATTAGAAATTTAAAAGTAAACTTTACCCTCTGTTACGTCCTTATCATATAATATCTTTATTCTATATCTTAGCTGTATAATATTAAATTATGCTTTTTACATTATTTTCAGTTTATAAACTTAAATAATAATAAAAATAAAAATGTAAATATTATATTTACAGTTTTCAGTAATTTTGCTATAACTACTGAAGAAGGTTGTTTCATATTTTCGCCAAAGTTTTCCCTGCAATTCACAATTCGTGAGTATAATATTTTTCACGTCGTTCTACCCAAAACAACCAGAAAATAATTATTGATCTGTTAGCTGTTATTATAGTCGTGAAGCACCTCGTTTCTGTGTCTTCCACGCAATATCTAGGCAACCTAACATCCGGTGTATATGCGTGCCCGACTTTCACATTAGTATATCTATATACACATATATATATTATATATATATATATATAGGCAATGGTCCAAACGAGTGGGCTATTTAGGGACGTTCTTTCCCACTATCTCTTGAACTCTCTCTGTATTCTCTCTCTTTCTCTCTCTCTCTCTTTCTCTCTCTCTCTCTTTCTCTCTCTGTCTTTGTTCCTTTATAGAAAAATCACCAGTTGGCTCAATGCGCCTTCTCCTATATCGCTACCGGATCCCAAAGGTCTGTGTGTAATCTAAACCGATTGGGAGAGCCCGTGCTTTTAGTATAATGTTCCTACGATGTTTTTGGATCCAGGAAACTGGATATAGCCTCGTGGGCCTTTTTTCCCGACCCATTAGTGCCGTTGAAGGTCGTTAAAAGGAAAAAGTACCCGATGTGGAGCTCTAAACAATGGGGAAGTGTCGTAGTGGTCTGCCGATGCCAAACATGATGTGAAAATGGTATCAGAGGACAAAAGATTATGACATTAATAATGGTCGGGGGGTGTGGGTATTTGGCCAGGGGAAATGGACACTTTTTCGGTAATGGACGTCGAGAGGACTCGGCGAGACACTTCAAAAGAAATTGCACACGCGATCCAAGTGAACCTCGTCTGAGTCCAGAAGACATGTTGGGTTTTATTTATATAGCGGAAAGTATACAAACAAAAGCGCCAAGTATGTTGAACACTTAATTTCACCGTCACAGTAATATTTAAAGTGAAATATCAAATGCCAGCACAACAACTATGATAGTTTAGAAATATTTCATATTTTATATAAAATCTAGTGATTTAATACTTATTCTACATTGGAAAATAATAATAGGTAGGTAGTGTGGGTAATTAACTATTCTTAAGGTATTAAGTAATTTATTTATTTAAATTATCCGAAGACTTCCCAAGGCCAAAACTAGTAGTTAAATTTAATTTATAATACTTTTGTTATTTGTGAATTTTTATTTCGATTATAATAATTATTGTACATTTATTTTTTTATTTTATTTTTTTGGGAGGGGGGTTGAGGTTTTGACAACTGAGATCATTAGACTGTGGAACTGTGGGGGAGGGTACTGTAGGTTTTGAACAAGTGTGTGTTTAATTTGGCAGAATTTTTAAGTGGGCACCCGTAGGTATCTGCCATGCCCGGGTGGGGGATGATAGCCTCTCTCCAAACACGTGACTGCCCAAAAAAAAGTGCCACCCGTGGCCGAGTTCAAACCTGTGAAGGTGCGAGTTGCAACGACCCCTTAGTCTGCTCAGCCACTCCGTCCCCCTGTATATTTATTATTTTCTAGTATTTTGAATAATGATTTGTTTATTGGCATAACATTTCAAACACGAAAAATGTTAAATATTTATAAATGATCTATAACTGCTAATTTCCATCTTATTAATATTATCATACCAAAGTAGATTTTCGTTAGATATAATAGCATTAAAAAAAAAATAAATACACTTAATATTATGCATTTATTCAAAAACATCAATAGAAATCAAGCCTTCAATAATTGAAAGTGAATTTAAAATAAGAAAGTTTGTGATATAAAAATCACCAAAGTAAAAATGCAAATTGAAAAACGAAATTATATGTTGTAATATATTAGTAACCATCCTGTGCAACTAATAGTAGAAATAAAATGCCCGCTTTTCTCATATAAATTATATAAATTGATCAATAAATAATAATAGCCAATAAGAACTAATAGTCTTAAAAAACTAGTCATTTAATTTTGTTCTGTTAGTCTAATATTATCAGACTATTTCATGAAAAATATCGTATTATATAATTGTGTAAGTTATTATATACATACAATATTGTATTTTACTTTTATTATTTATTTTTTTCCCATTTTAATTAAATTGTTATTTTTTAAATACATAAGTTTTTAATTTCAGAAGTATAAATATAACCACTAATCATGTAAAAATATATTATTATATTTTATTATACATTAAATTGATTTTTTACACAACTATGATGATCTTGACAGTTTTTAATACTTAAATAAATAAAATATATAATACAAGATAAAAATTTGAAAAAAATAAAAGTCGAAACGTCAAAATATAATGAGTTTATATTATATTAGTACTTAATTTTATTTTCCTTATTAATATCATTAGACATTATTATAGTCACGTCGGTAATCTCAGAAACTAAAAAATTCTAGAGAAATAATAAAAACAGCGTCATGAAATCGCATCGTCCATATCAGCCGTCTATCGAGTTCGCTCGTTTCGATCGGCTGCGGCGGCGGCACGCTCTCGCCCACCCTCTCATCGCGGTGCACACACGACTACAACATGAGTCGCGCACGTCGAGAGATTAATTTACTTCGCGTGTGACACCGATGATATTATATTATGTTGTATTATTAATTACCAGTATACAGTTACCAAGGTATACGGGGCACGTGTCATAATATATATTATATTCGTTATGTGCATGCGAAAAGTACGTGCCGCGCCGTTTCCTATAATAATAATAATATGGAAACTATATACCTACCGTATTATATCGCTCGACGTATCATCGTTATAATACCTTGGTAAATATAATATAATTTTTTATGTACAGACAACCCCGGGGTGATCAACCAAACATCTACGCCAAAGTGTTATACTTTTATAATATGCTATACATAAGCATTTATTATAACGATCATAATAATAATTATAATATAACTATATAATTCCTGATTTTTTTTTTTAATTTTAAGCATGATTGAAATCATATAATATTTCAAACAAAAAGATTTATAATTCGATGAAAAAGAAAATTTCCTCATTTATATTATTAATTGTGAATTTGATTTAATTTATATTATATTTATTTAATGTTGATGTATATCGCTGTAAGTCAACATTTGAACGATTAGTTTCTAAAAAGGATAAGTACATTTTCTCTCTCGTATTTATTATATTTAATTTATGAATGCATAACCATTAACCAATAGATCCCAAAACTTCTGGAGAATAGCCAAAAATAGCATGCTTCCGTTTTTTAAAATTTTCATTTTCCATCCAATCACTTATTTTATCCAAAAGAACAACCTAACATCTTAAATAATTATACTTAAAAGATATTCACACTGTAGTAGTTTTTATCAGATTTGTCTAATAATTTATATCTCGACTCTTGAGAAATAATACGTTTTATTTTTATACATTTAAAAAAAAACTGTATAATATTGTATTTATTATTAAACTGGGATTTACTTTATTTGTTATCTTTTATTAATTTAATAATTTTTTGTGTTTCTGATTTTATTTTCTATATTTATCGATATGAAATTATGATGGTATTTTTTTTTAACATATAATAAATTATAATGCTGTATTAGTAGTCTAAAAAATATATTTTGGTTATAATAATTAATATATTTGCCTACTTTTTAATTAAAAATCTAATTATTATTTAATATTTATCAAATCATTATTTTTTTAGGTTAGGTTAGGAAGTAACTATTATTTTTTTTTTATATTAATATTCCTTTAACTTGATTTCTAACTTACATCATTGCTGATATATTATTATAATGTATTATAATGAATGTCAAATATTATATTCTATTTAAGGATCATAAAACAAATTCACACACACATTATAGAATACTTAACTACCTAATAATTTGTTGATAATAATCGTAATTTATGCCCCCCCTTACACATTGTTATCTACTTTGACGGTTCAACCATTGATATTACGGACACTTACTATTTAATAATATAGTTTAACAACTCTGAAATTAAGATTTAATTTTTATCAAACTTACCTACATCAACATTTAAAAACATTTGCTTGTCAATTTAGGAAAAATATACCTAACGTTCTCAATCGAAAAATAAAGTGTGTGCCAAAATAGTTGTTTGTATTAAACCTTAAAACTTACAACTGTATACAAAATCTATGTATTTTAAAATAATACCATCTTCAAATAAACTTATAAACTCCAAAACAAAGTAAATTCATAATGACTGTAGGTACGATTAAACTGCGGTGACGTGCTTGGCAAAGAATCACACTACATAATAATAGAAAATTCGCACGTGACAATATATTATATTCAACTTAGGTACGCAGACGAGGATATTATTATTATCGGTCCAAATGACATATTGTTCGGTGTGCGTCAAACCCCCGTGTGAAATTTCAATATAAATTGTATAATATAATATTCTATTATAATAATATTTTATTTATATGGTTGAACGAAGGTTACACGCATCATAGGTCATTTATTCGAATGCGTCTAATCTACCGAGAAGATTCGGTGATAAAAATCACCTCCAACACGCATTTCAGATATTACTATTATATATACCTACCTAAACATAGGGCGTCGCGAATATAAAATTATTATTACTATTACTATTGTATGGGATGCGGGGGTGGTGGAGAGGTTAGGTATGAATAACATGAATATAATATACCCTGACCCCGTATTGCGATTACCTATAGCAACAAACGTTCGGATAGAAATAGAATCGCTTGAAATCATATTCGGAAAAATCTAAATATCGTTCTCAATAAAATATAATAATATCATCGATTATAATAAATAGATTATGAGAGTATAAGCATTGAGATCGAACGACGCAGTAAGTTATTATTATTCGTATACTAACTCGGATTAATAACCACGCTCGCCCAGATCTAAATCGAACGGAATTTAATATTACTATGTTTTAGCCGTACATTTTATTTTATTTTTTTTTCAGAGTGACTTAGTGCCGCCTGTCAACGGAACACCCACCACGATCCAATATATTATAATACGTAATATATTATAAATATATATATATATGTACAAACACAGTCGAATTCGACGAGAGCTATATATTATTATTATTATATTATACGTAACGCATTTCCAGAATATCACAGGATGAAACCGGACGAGAACAAGATTTAGAGCTTATGTAGTGGACAATACAACACGCGAACACTCTCAGACCGTGACTTATAGCCTTTTTCGGTGGGTTGCGGATATACTAAATCGATTTTCGTATCAGCAATAATCGTCGTCGTCGTCGTCGCAATCGTAGTAAACGTTCTTGTATAAGGTATTAAAATAATATTTGGTTCCGAGCTAGTATCATTCGTACTCGATGATCATTTCCTGAGGGAAGCATCGAAAAATCCACAATATTGACTTAGTACACCACATTATTTCGCCTTTATTGTTTTGAACCTTACACATTTAGGTTAGGTTAGGTTAGGTTGATGTGACACGGCTGCGTTACAATATCAACAAACGATAAATGATAATATTTTAATCATCTTAGCTGCGCTGATTTATTTTGAAGCCATATCAAAGTATAAGCGCTTATAGTTTTAATTTCGTAAATAATGTTCACCAAATCCTTGTCTAACCTAATTTTTAAATAAATTATATTATTACTAGATTTTGGCGTTTGTCATCCCGCCTGCGGCGGAAAGACTGTGTGGGCGGTGGTGCATCTTTGTCGGCGATGCTGGGTTTTTTGATCCGGCCTGCGGCGGGAATGGGGGGGTCGTCGGGTATTGTGTTTTGTCGTGTTGGCAGCACTGGTTAAGCGGTAATTTTTGAACTCGGAAAAGTGTCTAGTCGTAAGTTACTCGATTCAAGTCGATCGTACAACACAA